CCCCTTCCCCATCCACCCTCCCGGAGGAGCAGTCCCTAGGCCCAGTTCTCTGAGCTGGCCTCAGGGAAGCCCCCTCCTGAATGGTGGGGGGACTTTGAAGGGGAGTGGGAACGAGCAGCTCCCGTGACGTGGCTCTGTCCTTAGGACTCCAGGCCAGCAAGAGGGCTGCTTGGGGGGTCTTCTTTAAAAACACACTCATGTCTGCATGATAGCAATAAACCAGCTCACGTCCACTGTGTTTTTATTCAGTGCTGGGCATCGTCTTATTAAGTGTTTTTTCATGAGCCCCTTTGATCTCCCACAGCCCTACAACTTAGGGGCTATTTGTTCCCGGCTGTATCTCCAGTTTCTAGAACACAGCCTGGCACATAGTAGGTACTCAGTAAACGCTGCTTGGGGGAGTGAATTCCCATCTCTTTGCCTAGGTTACAGCATTTCTAGGCGAGCTGGATGTGGCCACGGGCCCTCTCCAGAGAGGTGCCTTTAACCGCTCCACTAGCTGAACACCACCTCTGGGCTCTCCTTTCTCAGCACCCACTCTCCCTCTCTGGTCAGAATCCTTTCCACCTCAAGCATCCCCTCCCCCCTTCACAGGAGCTTCCTCTCTGATTCCACTTATGCCTTTGCAGCTGCAATGGGCGCCCTATCACTGGTTAGTCCCAACCAACTCCTGGAGGCCACGTCACAGGTCCCCTCCTCACACCCCTCACCTGAAGTTAGCCCTCCAACTCCCCTGTTGGAGACTCCGCTGTCCACAGCACACCCCCCCCCCCCCCACCTTTGCCACTGCTTTTCCCAGTCCCCTTTCTTGCCTCTCTTCCCCTTTCTTTGACGAGTCTCTCTGGCTGGACCGCAGGCTTCTCCTTCCTCATCGGCACAGTACCCCCTTCCCCACTGGCCTCAGTTCTGTCTGCAGTGGTGCCCACATCTGTCTCCAGCTTGCCCCCAGCGTGTTCGAGGGGACCCACACTGGCCTCTGCATCATCCTCCAGACCTGATCCCACCGTCCCATCATCGCAGCTCCTTCTCCCTGGGAAATGTAATGAGCCCTTGGGGAGCTTACAAACCCCAAACTTGGGTTACCCTGGGCTCCTTCACTCTTTCCTTTCTCACTGGTCATCTCCCTACTCCCCCCACCCCCACCCCACCTGGCCAAATAAGCTGGTCACCACCTGTCTACTCTGCTTCTAGCCACTCTCCTCCTACCCCTGCCAGCCCTGCCCTGGTCCAGGCCGGCCTTCTGCCTTGAGTCTCCCCATCCACCCAGCAGCCATGAGCTCTTCCTAAAGCCCAAACTGACTGTCCTTCGCCTGCCTAGAACTCTCCGTGGCTCCCCACTGCCCAGGCTCAGAGCCTTCTGTCATCTGGCCCCTGCTGACTTCTGCAGTCTCACAAGCCCCCGCCCCCCGAACTCATTCCAACCAGCTCTTGCTTCACTGGAAAGGCCAGGCCCTCTCTCTGACTTCAAGGCCTTTACACGGGCCTTGATACCTGCTTCCTTCTCTCTGCTCCACTAACATCCTCTTGGTCTCAGCTCACACATCCTCTCCTCCAGGACAGACATAGCCCTCTTTTCCCATCACAGCCCTGATCACTGTAGTCTAGCGAATCAGGCCCACCAGTCCCACCAGGCTTCACCCATCACAGCCCTGATCCCTCTGGCCTGTGCTCCCTGATTGTCCCTGAGCCCCATGACAGCTGGGACTGTTTCACAGACAGGTGGCCACCAGTAAGGGGCCTGGATCAGAGTGCCTGCTCAGCAAATAGTTGTTTAACAGTCATTTCTGCAACCCTCACTGTCCCAATATGTGCAAAAGGCTACATGGGGCATAGGATCGCGGTCCGGGAGAAAGCAATGCCACTGCATATCCACGGACGTGGGCTGGGGGAGCGCCCCATCTACTCCCTTTTCATATCAAACTCAGGGTGACCTCTCACCTCCCCACCCAAGACCCCTGTGGACCCTGTCTTGACTAGGAGCGATGAGAAGGAGGTGGGGCTAGATGGTGGTTGCCCCACCTCAGGGTAAATGCTCCCTCTGAAAATACCAAGACTCACAGCAGAGCTGAACAGAGCTGTGCTTGGTGCCTTCCTAGGCCCAGGGTCAAATAACATTATCACAGGACCTGGACAGCCTCGTGGAGGGAGGGAGGGGGCACTTGCCCTATCCCATGCCCTGGGGGATCCCACTGGGAACACCAGGACTGGGGAGCACCTTCCCAGGTGGGCAGGACTTGCATGACATTCAAAGCCCTGCTTCTAATCCATCCCCCTCAGGGATGGGGAGAGAAAGGAGCAGGAAGCTGGCCCTACTAGACCAGGGAAGGGCTGGGATGAGAAGGGTGGCATTCAGGACAACATGCAAATTGGTGGGCTCAACAGCTCTACTACTGGGCTGCAGCTGTCTCTGTACTCCACCCTAAGAAGACTCAGGCCAGGATTTAATCTGAGGATCTCAGAATCACAAAATAGGCCCTCAAGGGCAAAACCAACAGTCAAGTCACTGGACTGTTCCTGCGCAAGGAGGAGCCCCAGATGGTTGTAAGCAGGGAAGGGTGAGCTAGTAAGACTGAGGTTTCAGAGATCCCCTTGGCTGCCATATAAAAGGTGGATGGGGGGGATTTCCTGGCGGCGGTCCAGTGGTTAGGACTCCACACTCCCATTGCCGAGGGCCTGGGTTCGATCCCTGGTCAGGGAACTAAAATCCCACAAGCTGCGTGGTGTGCCAAAAAAAAAAAAAAAAAAAAAAGTGGATGGGGGTTTGGTTTGGGGGCTGGGAACCTAGGAGGTGACCAGCCGGGGAAGGGCCATGTGGGAGAGGGCCAGGTTAAGGCTGCGAGGAGAAGCCCCCAAGAACCATCCCTTGGATTCTAGCTCCCCTCTATCACCTGTTCCCTGAGGGCCCTGGACTCTGCCACTGCTTAAAGACTGTCTGCTTCAAGCCCTCAGTCAACTTGCGGAATACAGGAAGCAAAGGAACTGGTCCAGGAACACAGGACAGATGAGTGCTGGCTAGTCTCCCAGCTTGTCTACCTGGCTCCAAAACAAGGGCCTCTGGGACCCAGGAGAGCACACTGTTGGTAGATAGTTCCAGACAGAGAGACAGAGGCAGAAACAACTTTCCAAATACTGTTTACTTCACTGAAACCTGGAGACAGGGAAAAGGTACGTGAAAGTCTGGGCCACCAAGCCTAGGAGTGCACGTTGACAACAGCGACATACAGGGCCAGGGTGCTGAGGGCCAGCAGCCCCGTCACCACCGCTCGGGCCAGAAGTGCCGTCCAACTGCCCAGGGAACACAGGTGGACGAAGGTCCTGTGGGGAAACATCGCAATGAAGAAGGGAGAAGAGATAACCCAACCCATTTGGGCCCATCCTCGAGCCCCACCCAGCTCACTCCATGACGAAGGCCTTGTAGACGCTAAGGAACATCAGCAGGAGGACTGCTGGCCGGAAAGTGTGGTACAGGTCGTAGCGTGTTATCATCCACACCTGGGCAGATGCGACGATGTAATGGACCTGGAGGGAAGCGGGAAGTCAGGGCCAGGCCTCAGGAGGAGCAGAGTCACCAGCAAAAAGGCGCGTGTGTGGGAAAGCAGGACTGCGTACCAGACTGATGTTGGAGTCAATGCTCATCTGGATGTACTTCCAGTCAAACTCAATGCCCCGAGCTCCAACCCAGAGAGGGATGCAGCTGAAGAAGGCAAAGGGAAGGATTCTCCAGTACCCAGACACCCTCAGCACCCAGAATCTGAGCCCCCACCCTCCGGCACCCCCCTGGAACCCAGGTGTCCCTTCTCAGGAATCTGGGCTCCAGGCTGCTGCACACACCGGGACATAATGAGCTCGGCGGTGGCCCAGCCCAGGGCAGCAACCATGATCTTGTATTCCCCCTTGCCGGCATTCCGGGACATGACAAGGTTTAGGCCTATCAGGTCTGCCACATCCACGCTGGCCTTCATGAACTCCTGTGGGTCAGGTTGAGGCTTGAGTAAGCACAGGTGCCAGGGGGCCCCACTCCTGCAATCCCTCCCCCTCCCTTGCCCCACTCACCCCAATGAAGTCATAGATGCCGCCTTCCCAAGTGGGAAAGAAAGTGGCCAGGAACAGCATCTGAGACCGGAAAACAGAGAGGTCACCTCAAGGTGAGGGAGACCAACCACGTGGGTTTGGTGGGAAGTTAGTGTGTTATGTGGAAGGCAGTACACTGGGGTTCTGGGGGCCCATGAGGAGAGGGACCACCAGATGGAGGCAAGAAGGCAGGAGCAGGGGAGATTGAGGGCAGGGGCTTGGAAGTCTGGGTTCTGTGGTGATCACAAGGGATCGGGGTCAGGTCTGAAGGTGCTGGGGCTGGTTACCCACCAGGGCAGTGGTAGCAGTGCTGGTGGGACCTTGGGGGTTAGTTAGAGGCTCTTAGCAGTATCCAAACCCTTCTTAGTCATACAATTGAATGTTCTCAATGTTACTAAAAGTGCTACACAAAAGTTGCTTGCGGACCTCTCCTCGGGCTCCAGCCCATCCAAGCCCGGCTCCTCCCCGGGAGGTCTGGGCGGGGTGGGCGGGGTGGAGTGGGCGAAGCCCTCGCGCGGCACAGCCGGCGCCCTTACCTTGCACAGCTGCACGAAGAGGTAGGTGACCCCGGCCTGGACGCACTTCCAGAAGGCGTTGTACTCGGACCTGCGGGAGCGGGCGGTGAGGGGTCGGCCCGGCCTGCGCCCCCCTGCCCCGCGGCCGCCCCGCAGCTGCCCCGCACTCACAGGCCGCTGCACTTGTAGGTGATGAAGTAGGGGAAGTAGGCCAGGGCGAAGCAGTTCCCGAAGTGGAACAGCGTCATGGCGCCTGCCGCCCGGCTCGCCAGAGCGCACCTCTCTGCCTCGGCTGCCTGGCGCCCGAGCCCGGGCCTGGCGCCCACCGGCCTCTGCCGCGGCGCGCGCGGCCTTCTGGGAGCCGGAGTCCGCGGCGCGGTGCGCTAACGTCACCAGGCTCCGCCGCGGTGCCCGGGCGACACGCGGGAGGCCGAGCCGGTGCCTGCGCGATCCCGACCCCGCGGGAGCCGCTCTCGGGGTCAGGGCGCGGGGCCTACCGAGCGCGTGCGGGGTGGGCCTGGATCCCGGACCCGACCCCGCTGTGACCGGCGCAGAGACACGGGGCGCAGCTGTGAGCCCTCAGGGTTTTTATTTCACCGTTGGCCCAGCGGCGCGGGCCCCTCGCGCGGGACGCCCTCTTTCTCCCGGGGGGGTCGAGGGCGGGGACGGGAGAGACGGGTACCGGCCGGGAGCACTGGGAAACTGAGGCGGGCCAGCCTGCTTCACTTGTCTCGGCTGAACATGTAGCGGAGGAGGTCCACCACTCGGTGACTGTAGCCATATTCGTTGTCATACCTGGGGAGGGAGGGATGGAGGGGATTCAGGGGATCCCTCCCGACCACCCCCAGCCTCCCTTCACGTTCTCTGACCCCTTTCTTCCCCCTTACCAGGAAATGAGCTTCACGAAGTTGTCGTTGAGCGTGATGCCACCCTTAGCATCAAAGATAGACAAATGAGTATCGCCAACAAAGTCCGTGGACACGACCCGGCCATCAGTATTTCAAAGATAAGCGTGGGTCGTAGAGCAGGGACCTCCAGGAGTTCAGGCTCGTGGGCACACTGTCATCCATTCATCTACAGTATCTGATGGAGCCGCCCTCTGTCCAGCTGCTGGGGACAGGGTATGAGGAAGACAAATGGGGGCTATTCAGGTAGGGGACTGGCCAAAGGATACAGACTGCAAACAGCCTCTGATGCTGCACCAACAGACATCTCTTCCGGGGAAAAATGCACGTGGAATGTGGCAGCGAGAGGCCCTCCCTGCGGGGAGGCAGTGAGTCTGGCTCTGGACGATTAGGAGGATCTGGTCAACTCCAGCCCTCAGCAGGGTCTCAGGTGGAAAGAACTGCAGCACAAAGGCCCTGGGGGTTTGGCCCTAGCATGGTGGAAGGCCACAGGAAGGTTTTCAGCTCTGGGGGTGATGTGATCTGATTTCTTTAAGAGATCCTGGCAGCTGTGTGAGGGTGGACCTTCAGGAGCTAAAGCAGGGAGACAGCACCAAGGTGGACGGACAGAACTGGCAGTACTGGGAACAAAGAGATGTGATACCCATTCCTCACAGGGAAGGCATCTGGCTGTGGCCGGCCCCGAGCAAGTGTTGAGAAATGGGAGCCCTTGTCTTGTTCGCTAAGCATATATCGAGTACCTGCTATGTGCCAGGCCCTGGGAAGATGGCTGGAGCTATGGAAGTGAAAAACGAGGCCCAAAGTCTCTGCTGTCTTGGAGTGTACATGCTAGCAAGGCCCACAGTGACTGTGAAATGACACTTCAGGTAAGGAAAAGGGCCACAAAAAGAACATCTCTCGGAGATGAGAGGTTGAAGTAGCGACTTGGAGAAGGTGAGGACAGACTATGTGGCCACCTGAGGGAAAAGCTTTCCAGACCAAAGGGGCAGCAAGTGCAAAGACTCTGAGGTAGGGGAGAGCTGACCTTCCCAGCCCTGCAGTTCCTATCTTGATATGCTGCAAAAAGCTCCTTGGCAAGTGGAAAATCACGTTCCCTTCCCAGAGGGCTCTTCCCAGGGTCCCTTCTGCTCAGCCCCTACCTCATCCTCAGTGTAGGCAAGGATGCCGGCCGTGGGCCCCTTGGCTTCTGCTTTTATGGCCTCCTCGATGCCTGAGGACGGGGTAGGCTGGGCCAGGCGGCAGGTCAGGTCCACAGCAGACACGACTGGGGTTGGCACTCGGAACGCCATTCCAGTCAGCTTCCTGGAGAATCCCACATCGGGGGCGGGAGTCAGAACCCAGGGACTTCATCATTTCCCCCTTGTCTCTGCTTTCTGCTCAGGAGACACCTCCAGGATTGGGGGCTAGTCCAGTCCTCCTGGGTTGCACCCCCCACCCTTGTTGCAGCTTCATGCCCTCATACCCTTGGAGGTCTTGGATGACTTTGCCCACAGCCTTGGCAGCCCCTGTGGGGGCCGGGATGATGTTCTGGTGGGCACCCCGTCCGTCTCGCCAGGCCTTCTCCGATGGCCCGTCCACTGTCTTCTGGGTGGCAGTGTAGGAATGGACTGTGGTCTTGGGGAAGAAGAGGGCTGAGGTGAGGCCTTTTTGCCCCCAAGCTCCCACACCGCTTTTTCCCAGGCCCAGGGTGGTGACCCAGGGGTGGAGGCTGGCAGGGCCTCCACCACCGTCACAGGAGGGGCACATGCAGGCAGTGTCCAGAGTTTAAAAGGCTTCACCACTGGTGGGCTTCTCGTCCCCAAGCCAGTCTCTCCCTGTTAACCCCACACGCTAAGCAAGTATGGGAGGAAGAGGTACAGTTTCCCAGCCGTGCCTCCTGCCCCAGCCCCTCTCCGCACCTCACCATCAGCCCTGCCACAATCCCAAATCACTCATGGATGACCTTGGCGAGGGGGGCCAGGCAGTTGGTGGTGCAGGATGCATTGCTGAAATGGCCTGGGTGTGCAAGGCACTGTGAGGTGAGTCGCAGAGCCACCCTTCCACCCTTACCTCCTTTCAGTGTTTGCACCCAGGCTTGGTTTTGTGAAAAGTCAGGCTGGGGATGAGGGAGCATTGGGGATGCCGTCAGACCGAACGAGGCACCAGAGGTGCAGCTGGGGGAAGCTCCCCAAGCACGTTCTCCAGAAGTCGTGCAGTTCTAACAGATGGTTTTAGGGTAACATTAACAAGATGGCTGTTAAGACTTTGGGGAGGAGAAGTGCATTGATGTGAAAAGAGCACCAGGGGCCGAGTGGGAGTGGGAGTGGGAGTGGGGAGGGTGAGTCGGATTCCTCCCCATCGCAGGCTGGCTTGTCCTCCAGGCACACACTTCAGAATGTTGCTGCCCATTGCCTGACAATTTTCACGGAGCCGGGGTTATAGTCCTTTTCGTTCACCCCCATGACAAACATGGGTGCCTCTGGAGAGGGCGCGCAGATGACCACACGCAGGGCACCTGCCTCAATGTGGGCCTAGGGAAGGCTCACAGGTGTCATGAGGTGCTTCAAGTGCCACACCCCCTGGGTGGCCCTGGGCACCTGTCCCGACTTACTGTAGTTTCCTCTAAGGACAGGTGCACGCCTGTGGCCTCCACCACCACAAAGGGGCTCCCGACAGACTTCCGGGGATTTCTTTGGGCTGCTTGCTGTGGAGGGGCGGTAGCACCGTGAGTCAGTCTCTCGCCTTCATAGTCCGTGGCCTTCACCATTTGAAAGGCTGACCAGACACCTTCCTGCCTGGCCGTCTGTTCCCCTCACCCCACACACCCCTAGCTGCCCCAGATGGGTCCGACCCTGCTGGCCTTTCCTCTCATCGCTAACCCCCCGAGTGGGCCACTTTTCTTGACTGTACCTGCTATGCCTGGGTACAAGCCGCCACCTCCCCAACTCAGGCCGCAAGCCCCGCCTGGAGGACCACCTAGACTACTCCCAGCCAGGTCAGGCCCTTACTACATATGCTGCCCAGGATGTAGACCCCAGGAGGGTGAAGCCTGCCCTACTGCTTCTGGCTTCAGCCCTGGCAGCTTCATCACAGCCCTCCTAGCCCTTCTTCTCTTGACTCCTCAGCTCCTGCAACAGGGATCCTGCTGCCAGAGGCCAGGCAAGTCCCTGAAAACACACAGCACATCCAGAGAGCAGCTCCCAGGGGTCTGAAGCCTTGAGGCGGCCCTGGGGCTAGCAGCGGCTAGTGGTTTATATTGGAAAGGTAAAGGAGATTTTCTGTTTCTTGTTTTATCAACATACATTTTCCACTCGATATCAAACATTCGTGTGTGAAATATATTAAACATCTACTATTGCTGTTTTCTACTTGGCTTTAGCAAGCAAACAATACGTGGGTAAACTCTATACGAATCTTTTCCCTCAGCTTTTATCACAACTGTAGTATTTGCTTTTGTGATTGTTAGTGTCTGTCTCATCTTCTAGAGCACTCCATGGCAGCAAGGCTGGGTCTGCTCCCTCCAGAGGGGTTCAGTCAATGTTTGTGTGTGGTTTCTTTTTATTAGCCATTCTACACATGTTTACTGAACACCTGCCATGTGCCTATGTGCTGAGTGCTTTACCTGTATTGAACTCCTTTAACCCTGATGACCTGAGGTAAGTACTGTTATTACTGGCATTTTTCAGAAGAGCCAGGACAGAACTGAAAAGAGTAGGGGCAGAGCTGCCTGGGAGCACAGGCAGGCTGGCCCTAGGGATGAATGAATGAGCAGCTTCCTCTCTTCTCCCTGGGCCACCACACATGGTTCTTCATGCTCCCTGGTCAAATGTCAGGTCACACTTCATCATCTGACCCAAGTAGCTCTTCTCTGATGCCCCCCTCATTTCCTGCCTTCCAAGCTGGGGGAAGGGCACTTCAACAAATTCCTTTGTAGCAGTTGTTGAGCGGGCATGGGGCAGAGACTCGGTGCCCCTGGAGACCCCAGCCCCTTCCCCTAGGCTGTCATGGGCCCTGCCCTCCTGCCCAGGGGCTTCTTTTGAGGATTCTGTTCATTCTTCAAGGAAGTACTGAGTCTGCCCCGGGCCAGGGCCTGCGCCTGCGGGTGCCAGAGCAGCAGGGGTGCCACAGGCTGACAGGGCACTCCTTGCCAGGAGGCTGCGTGAGCCCTTCCTGGTGCTCCTCACACGCCTCTGGCCATGCTCCCTGCTGTGGCTGTGGTGGGTATGCTGAGGAAACAGGCTTGGGGAAGTTCATTGCCTTGCCCAGGGTCACCCAAGTGGAAAGGGTGGAGCGGGTCAAAGTACACACACAAGCAACGCAGCTCGTGCTGACGGCCTGGAGGATATCCGAGGATATCCGCAGTGGCGCAATGGAGAGCAGTGGGGAAGGGGGAAGACGCGCTGCAGTCGCCACGGAAGGTGGCACCTGAGCGGGGCACACAGTGAGGGGGCGGCTGTGTGGGGACGGGGCAGCGCTGGGAAAATACCCCAGGTGGCAGCAACGATGGCGCCCAGGCTGAGGAAGGAAAGGACCCAGTGTGTCTGAGTAATGACTGCTCTGCTGGAATTTGGAATTGTTTTTGCTGTCATGATTTCAAATTTGGGTCAAGCAGCTTCTCCCATTCTCACTGACTCTCCAGTCCCCACCTCCACCCACCCCTGACCACCTGACCACAAATAAACAGCGGGGCTGAGAGTGGACCTGCTGGGAGGAGTGCTGGGAAGGCTGCAGATCTTGCCTGGGGCTGGAGAGAGCTCACGAGTGTGCGTGTGCAAGCGTGTGTAAAATTGGAAATTGGAGGCAGCCACAGGGCCGGCAGTGGCTGATAATTTACATTAGAAAGATAAAGTAGGTTTACTGTTTCCCATTTTTATTTTTTTTGGTATTTTGAAAATGTATTTGAAGCTTATTAAACATCCAGTGTTATTGCTTTTGACTTACAGATTCTAAACATATCTTTCAGTGAAGGAGTATTTGTATCAGTGAGAGCTATGTGAAGTGGGTTTTAAGAAGAGCTGCTGGTGCAGGGTCCCGGGAGGTTGGTGGCCAGTGTCGCTGAGGTGACAAGGGAAGGCTGGGGAGCAGGGCATATAGTTGGTGGGAGGCCCCATCAGCAGCTGGGATTTTATTTGTGGGGTGATGGGAAGCCACTGGAGGGTTTAAGTGGGGGCGTGATCAGGTCCAGTTGATGTTTTGAAAAGGTCTCTGTGGCTCCTATGTAGGAACTGAGTGGGAGCAGTTGGCTAGATGGTGATGCCATTTCCTGGGCAGGGAGATGAATAGATTTGAGGGTTGAAGGATAATCAAGAGTTGAGTTTTAGACAGGTTGAGCGGATATGCCTGAGAGAAAACACGCACATGTGCGTTAAATAAAAAAGTATTTTGAGTACAGTGGGCCCCCTCTCCAAACCAGTACCCAGAGGCGTGTGCACACACAATTTGGGGGGTTATGAACCCCACGTGAGAGTCTGGAATCCCCTTCTAGTCACCTCTACATCCCCTGCATTAGTATATTGCAGGCTTGCATAAGACAGCCGCCCTTACCGCTGGAAGACGCTGATCTCATTGTTAGCGACGGCCAGCCGTCCATTCCTGTATTCCACGCTCCCCTTGTATTGGCCGTGGGTGGAGTCATACTTAAACATGTACACCTGCAGGAGACAGAATGGCTCCTAGTCTTGGGCTGGATGGGGAGCGAGCATTGCCAGGGAGTCCCCACTTCAGTGACGGTTCCACATGGCAGCTGAGCGCCTTCCACAGAGCTCCCCTGAACCCCTTCCCCACCCTGGTCCCACTCTCCCCGGTCCTGCCCTTTGTCTGCTGCTCATCATGTATTCTGGGTCGATGAACGGATCGTTCACTGCTACCACCTTAACACCCTTCTCCATGCAGGCACGCCACACCAGGCGACCAGTGCGTCCAAATCTGTCCAGGAACGAAAGCTGAGGGGGTTGCCTCAGAATCCTCAACCAGCACGCAGAGGAGGGGATGAGGGGGAAGGGGGTGACAGAGGAGAGTCCCACTCAAGGGGACTGGGTGGGGAAGAAGGCAGCCGTCCCTGTGTGGGCCAGTGTCTTGCCCAGATGACCTCACCAGCCTGTTCACTGCTTTCTGTGCTGCCTCTGGCCATCTGTCCTCTACCCCTATTCCCAACCTTGTAGCTGGGTGGATCTTGTAGAACTTCGGGTCAGATTATATCTCTTGACCTGAAAACCTCCACCACTCTCTAACAGTAAAGCCAGGTCCAGACTCCTTACCGCGGTCCGCCAGGCCCCTGCCAGCTTTCCGCTGCCCTCCCTCTTCTCCCTTGCTTGTGCCATGCCAGCCCTGCTGAAATCCTGCCCGTCCTCATTACACTGAGCTGCCACCTACGCCCCACAGCCATTGCTGCACAGTTGTCACTCAGGCCTTACTCCGGTGTCACCTCCCAGAGGCCTTCCCTGAGTTCCCCGGCCTAACACTGCCCTCTTCAGTCTTACTGTACTTCCCACCGGAATGTGAGCTCTCTGGAGGTGGAGCCCTGTTTGCCTTATCCCTGTGTTTTTCCAGGATGGGCAGAATGAAAGCATTGCTGAGACATGAAGAAATGCTCCAGTTAGTAACTGAGGAGAGGCCGGGCCCTAAAGCTTCAGGAATGGCTCAAGGGCCGGGGCGACTCACCCATTGATGCCAACAGTCAGCTCCCGAACCACAGAAACCTTCTTAGGTGCAGGAGGTGGAGGTGGTGGGACTTGCTCTTTGATTGGCTGGGGCTCCGGAGGGGGTGGTGCTCTGGTCACTGTTGGGAGTGGGGGAGGGGCAGTGAGCCGCACCATCACTGCGACAGAATGAGCCATCTTTGCCACCCAGAACCTGCTGCTGGCTCCTGGCCCTGAGTGGCCAACCATATAGCCCAGTGTTTCCTAAACCGACCTGATCAACAGAATGAGCAGGGGGTGGGCTTGTTTTAAACTATCCATGCCAGGGCCTCTTCCCTGGAGATTCTAACTCAGTGGGTATATATTTTTAACAATTGCTTGGGGGTGATAGTCTCTGTGCCTCAGTTTCCTCCTCTGTAAAATGGAGATGATAATAGTACTTCTCTCAGAGGGTCACTGTGAGGATTAAATGAGTGATACATGTAGTGCTTATGATAGAGTCTAGGAAACATTCCACGTACGTTAATATTTCAAAGATCATTTCCCAAACTTGCCTGATAATTGATCTAGTCCAGTGGTCCCCAAATTGTTCTGGTAAGAATCACCGGGAGGCTGATTCCTAGGGAAATCTGACTTTAGGTTTGCACTGAGGCCTAGGGATCCTGTTTCCAACAAGGTGATGCTTACCCTCAGAGAAGTTTAGGAAACACAGGTCTCTTGTAACATATGAAACAAATGGAAACCCATGTCAGCTTCTGCCTCTCCGGACACACAGATCTACACCCATGCTGCACTGGGAGCACCTGTGCTTGAAGCTATGCCACCTGAGCTACAGGTGAGGGCTTCAGGTAGGGAGGAGAAGCGTGGAGACAGCAGTCAGGGGCCTAGCTGGTAGAGGGTTTCAAGCCGGGGGGCAGGCCTTGATGTCAGCTCTGGCTCAGCCACCTGCCAGCTGAGTTGTTTTGAGCAAGTTAATGAAACTCTGGCCTGTTTCTTGATGTCACATCTGACCCTCCCCCTGGGGGCTCCTGTAAGGACTCAGTGAGATCTCAAGGCCCAGGAGGTGCTGATTTTAATAGAGGGGAGAAAGTCTGACACGAAGTGTATTCGTGAGGAAAGGGAGAGGGAAGGGATTGGAGAGAGCCTGGAGGATGAAGGTAGGAGTTGCGCTTGGCACCAGAATCAAAGGCACCTTGGCGGGGGTGGGGTTAGGAGCTGGGGGTCAGCCGACCTGTCTCTCTCCCTGGTCTCTCCAGGCTGCCACAGGCCTTGTGGCGTGAGGCTGGGCTGTGCGTGTTTCCAGTAGCACTACAAGTTCATAAAGGTATTAGTCAGTGTTTACTGGTGGTTATTGGTGACCTTAAGAATGTTTGTATCCCTGGGGGCTCTGTTTCTGCTCTCATGAAAAGGGGAGATTTGTCCATATGGGTGAAGAGTGGGGATCTGAGCCCACTCAGTGACCTTTCAAAAGAAAACCCAGGTGGTCCTTCTCTCACAACTTCCCCCAGCCTTCCCTTCTCCCTTTGCTCCAGGGTGGGGTACATGGGCTGGAGGAGAGCTGCTGCGCTGGGAAGGAAGAGCCCGGAGGAGCTTCAGTGATGAAGCATCAGCCGGTAGGTGAAACACTGGATCGGGTGTGCTCTCTACCAATTACAACGTCGCTCCCATTTCCCGGGTGCCGCCAAGGGCTAGGTGCGGTGCTGAGCTCTCCACATGCATCAGCTCACTGAGTCCTGTGAGGTATGTGCTATATACCCACTTTACAGTGGGGAAACCGAGGCCCGAGATCACTGAGCGAGTGATAAGCAGGGAGAGTTTTCAAGGCCCACAGCTGTTAACCTGCCTGCTGCTGCGTCTGGCAGGGTCTCCAGGACCCTGGAGCCCCGCCCAAACCCCGCCCCGCGTCGGCCGCGCCCACCCCTGCGTTGCTGAGGCCGCCGACTGCCTCGCCCGAGGCCAGGCAGGAGGCCGGGAGCGAATGGGGTGGCCCTCCGGAAGGCCTGGATTCGTCTGGCTGGAGCGTGGAGCGTGTGCGCGCACCTCTGGCCGGGGGAGGTAGGGCGAGCAGGGACTCCGAGTCCCAACTCCACTATTCCCGTGCTGAGACCCAGAAACGTGCTTTGTGTCCTCTTACATCTGGTGGCCGCTCTGTAAAATGGGGACACTAAACACTGAACTCAAAGGTGGTTGTGAGGCTTCACAGAGCGCACACCTGTAGAGTGCTCGGCACCTGGCGGGCTCAAGTGTCCTCGCTTTGTGCGATCCAGGGAGGACAAAGTCCACCGATCCCCAAGCGGCTCTTTCGCAGCAGCGTCAATTTTATGTGAAACCTCGCTCGCCCAGGTACTTCAACAACCAGCGGCTGTCCTAGAGGTGTCCCCTCGTAAACCCGGCTCCGGCCTCCCTCCTGGCCCCTGTTTCTACCCTTCCACCGCGCTATTGGTGCAAAACCCAACCTGGGGGCGGGAGTCTTCGTCCCCTCCACCATCGCCGTAGAAACCACTTTGCCGGCAAACCCGGTGGTGAGGAGGGTGGGGCTGGAGGGAGCAGGGGCAGCGGCTCCGGATGGAAGAGCCCCGGCAGGCAAGGCCACCCCCCGCATCTCCTGCCCGGCTCCCGGTGGACACTATTGGTGCGCCGCTCGCCGTCAGGTACTCAGACCCGGCTACAGGAGCTCCCCGACCGCCCTTTCCTCCCCTCCCCGGGGTCACTCCGCCGCCTCCCTCACCTGGGCAAGGCTGTCGCGGGAGCTGGACAACGGTGACATTGGTGAGGGTGACGTCGCGTTTCGACATGGCCTCCTAAGGTTTCATGGCCCAGCCAGCTGCCTCGGCACCCGCCGCGATGTTACTGCGAGACGGGGGCTCGGGGGCTGGAGGAGCTGGAGCGTCTTTCCGTGACGTCACAGTCCAGTGACGTCACAAGAGGAGGCGGCGCGAAGGCCCCCTCCCAGTTGAGACCTGTGGCCGTGTACCACCGTTCCAAGCCCACCCCTGGCGTCTAGAATGGAATCCAACATTTTACACTGGTCTTCAAAGCCCTTGCTCTGCTGTCTTCTTTCTTCTTTCTTCTCCTTGGGCACACCGGCTCCATGCCGGTCTGGACCCTCTTCTGGAATTACCCTAGCTATTTCTTTGTGCCTGGAAGTCCTACCCAGGTCTTCCCTTGGCTGCCTCTTGGTTTCCCTCAGGTGCCGCCCTTTGAGAGGCCCTCCTAACTCCACATCTAAAGTTCTCTCCTTTCTCAGTCGCTATCTGCCATCAACCCCACTCCCTCCGTCTGCCCGTCGTCCGGGAAGCCTTGTCTGACTTCCCATCCTGGGTTAAATATTGCAATGTGCATAACTGCTCTAGGGTTACACTCTTTACTTTCCACGCAGCATATGTCTCTCTAAAAATCATCCAGTTTATTCGTTAGCTTGCCAATTGTATTTGCCCACTAGAGAGTGCTTGTCTGCCTCCCTCACTATTTTTTTTTAGAAAATCAGTTTTTTTTAAATTAATTATTTTAATTTATTCATTTTAATTTATTTTTGGCTGCATTGGGTCTTCGTTGCTGCGCATGGGCTTTCTCTAGTTGCATCGAGCGGGGGCTACTCATTCTGGTGGCTTGTTGCAGAGCACAGGCTCTAAGCACGTGGGCTTCAGTAGTTGTGGTGCACGGGCTCAGTTGCTCCGTGGCACGTGGGATCTTCCTGGACCAGGGCTCAAACCCATGTACCCTGCATTGGCAGGCAGATTCTTAACCACTGCACCACCAGGGAAGCCCATGCCTTCCTCACTTTTATACCTGTTGACTAGAAGAATGTTTGGCACTTGAAAGGTACTCCCTCAATAACTAGTACCAGAATGAATGAATAAATGTCACCTCCTGAGGTTTCTTCTTCTTTTTTTTTTTTTCGGTACGCGGGCCTCTCACTGTTGTGGCCTCTCCCGTTGCGGAGCACAGGCTCCGGACGCGCAGGCTCAGCGGCCATGGCTCACGGGCCCAGCCGCTCTGCGGCATGTGGGATCTTCCCGGACCGGGGCACAAACCCGTGTGCCCTGCATCAGCAGGCGGACTCTCAACCACTGCGCCACCAGGGAAGCCCCTGAGGTTTCTTCTGGTCTCCAATCTTAGAGCAACCCCCGAGTCCTATCCTCTCACAGCACTCTGTTCTTTTCCTTATGGTTTTTCATGTAGTTTTCCATGATCAAGTTACTGACTTACTTGTTCATTGTCTCCCTGTTGGGCCCACTCTTTTCTGTTTTGTTCACCACTGGTCCTCCAGCTCCTAGAACTGTGCCTGACACAAAGCAGGCTTTCAGTAAACATTAGCGGAAGAACAAATAGACAGACGGCTCCCATCCCCCAAAGCATGGGAGGTGGGGGCTTGCTTGCGTATCTGTGACACACAGGCAGGCACCTTCCCCTGCAGGGCCAGTTGGCACACAGCTGTGACCAAGATTTAGGGGCTGTGGGATTTAGGCCAGGAAGGAGTCATCATTCCAGAGAGAGGTGTGGAAGCAAGAAGGGGCAGAATGACATAACCTCTTCTTTCGCCAGACCTCCATGAGAACTGAGTTTGCTAAGCACCTGCCATGGCACAGAGTAAGGGTGAAGCGCTCCTGCTTGGATGGCCCGGGAAAGGTGGAACTGAAAATGAATTGAGTGTACAGCGGGGAAGATTTCAATGAACCAAGACCGAAAAAAACAGAACAAAGGGGGACAAATTTAACATGTATAATCAAGATGGGGGAAAAGCGTACACAAATAAAACCCGGACTGAAAAGGGACCAATTTGGTACGGCTTTACAAGAATAGATATGAAAAGCTAGATGCAATTAAAATTTTCTTAGAAAATATGAGAGATCAAAACTGGTACAAAAAGAAATGGCAAATCTGAGTAGGCCAATAACAAGAGTTAAGATGTATCTTCCCAAAGGCTGATTCAGATCCCGATGATTTTATGGGCAAGATTTGCTGAAGCACGGGGAAGAAATATTTGCCGTTCTGCAGGACCTGCTGCAGAGCCGAAGCAGAGCTGGGAAGCCAAGT